ACACAATGCCACAAAACCGTTTTTGTTTCCAGTCATTGCTGGTGCTCCAACGATTGTAATGCACAATAATTTATATATTGGTAGCTTGTACTTTTTTACAAAATTGAAGAAAACATCATATATATATTCGCCACGGGTCTTCCCCTTCAGACGAATGATTGTTAAAAATTCTTCCTTAGCCAACATGTCATTGAATACCATCCGAATAAAAATACAGCTGGGCAGTGTCTGTCATATCGGTGGATTCGTCGAACTGTAAAGAAAAGTATGTACATTCCATGTTTTAGTTTATCTGCCATGTCCTGACTCATGACTTCAATACGCCTTGTGACAGTCGGACGAGATAACTGAAGTTCTCCAATAGCAGACATGATTTCTGTTTTATTTTTAAAATCTCCAAATAAAGTCTCACCCGCTTCAATAAATGCTTCCTTCACAACCGATCCATCTGCGAATGGTTTCTTGTGTTTTGCCAATATATGAGATATTTTAAATGACGCGATCGTAGCAGCTTTTGATTGTTTGACTGGTCTTGTGAACATGGACACATCTGTAATTCCCAGGAATTACACTCAATTTGAGTCCGCTATGGAAGACGCTTTCAATATAGTACGTAAATGTAATAAAGTGGTTGTTGTGTGTGGTGATTTTAATATAAACATTTTAGTTAAGTGTCCATTAGTGAGTAGGTTTCTAAACTTATTTAGATCATATAACTTGAAGCATACCTTCTTTGAGCCTACCCGCATCACATATGCATCAGCAACCTGTTTGGATAATATTTTTTGTAATAGAAATGTTTTTAATAAATCAATAATAAATTGTATTAATTCTGATCATAGTGGACAATTAGCCTCTATTGAACACCATCATGCTTCACCCAAACATGACCTAACTTGTAGACCAATTACACAAACGGGTATAAATAAATTTCAAGATAACGTTTATCACAAAATATCGAACTTACCAGTTTGTAATAATAATAATATTTTGTATGAAGATTTATTCAATTTAATTAAAGATGAATTCAATAAAATATTTAAACGCAAATTAATTAAATGCCATAGCTCTAAAAAGAAATTTAGTGATTGGGCCACACCGGGTATTTACAAAAGTAGAAATAAGTTGTATCAATTATATGCTCTCAAGGCAACCTCATCTGATCCTAAGTTTATAGAATATGTCAAAAACTATTCAAAAACTTTTAAAAAGGTGTGTGCCATAGCAAAGTCTAAGTTTTTATCTAAAAAAATTAGTCTTTCCGATAATAAAATAAAGACAACTTGGAATATAATTAATAATGAAACTGGAAGAAATAAATTTAATGAACACACATATTCTTTAAAAATAGACAATAAGATTATTAGGACAGATGATGCCGTTGCAAACACTTTTCAAAATTTCTTTTCTAGTGCACCATTTGAAACAACTAGAAATCTTAATTCTTGTTCTAGGTTAGCAATGACCCTCCTTGAGTCAAGTGTTGATAAGTGCAGTAATGATTTTCATTTTAGACATATCAGTAGTGATTGTATTATAAAAACTTTTAATTCAATTAAAATTAAAAAGACAGAGGATTATTGGGGAATATCAACATATATAATAAAACCGATTATCACTGTCATTGCGCCACAACTGGCCATTATATTTAACAAATGTATTGATGAGGGAGTGTTTCCAGATCTAATGAAATGTGCTAAAGTTATCCCTCTCTTTAAGGCTGGTGACAAATCAGATCCCAGCAATTTTAGGCCTATATCTGTATTACCAGCGCTAAGTAAAGTATTTGAGAAAATAATTTATAACCAATTACTAGCACACTTTTCTATAAATAAGCTACTTCATTTAAAACAGTTTAGTTTCACTAGAGGCAAAAGTACTACTGATGCTGGAACTGCACTTCTCAAACACATCTTTGATATATGGGAGAGTAAGCACGATGCTATTGGCATTTTTTGCGATTTATCTAAGGCGTTTGACTGCGTTAGCCATGAAACATTGTTAAATAAAATGAAGCATTATGGTGTATCAAATATTTCACTAAGTCTGATACAGTCTTATCTTTCTGCTAGGATTCAGAAAGTGGTTATAAATCAAGCTGAGTCTACAGGAGCACCCATTTCTATGGGCGTGCCCCAGGGTTCAATATTGGGCCCATTGCTTTTCCTTATTTATATTAATGACCTTCCTCACTTTACAAGAGATTTGTGTGAGACAGTACTATTTGCTGATGACACCTCTTTAGTGTTTAAAGCTAGGAGAGGAATTGATTGTTATGACGAAGTAAATTGTGCTCTCTCTGAAGTCCTTCACTGGTTTACGGTAAATAATTTAAAACTAAACTCTAGTAAAACAAAATGTGTTAAGTTTACTTTACCTAATGTGAGGCAGGTTAATACTAGTTTAAAAATAAATGACCAGCCTGTAGAGTTAGTGGATTCTACAAAGTTTCTGGGTATTACTTTAGACTCGCATTTGCAATGGGATCCTCATATTGATGCCTTATCAAGTAGACTGAGCTCTGCGGCTTTTGCTGTTAAAAAAATAAGACTTCTAACTGATGTGGAAACGGCAAGATTGGTTTACTTTGGTTACTTTCATAGCGTTATGTCATATGGCCTTTTGTTGTGGGGCTCAGCTGCTAATATAGAAAGTATATTCGTACTGCAAAAGAGAGCTGTTCGCGCCATATATAATTTAAAGGCAAGAGAATCTCTTAGAGAAAAATTTAAAGAAATTAATATTTTAACACTGGCATCGCAATACATTTATGAAAATTTAGTATATGTAAGAAAAAACTATGACGCATTTACAAAAAAAAGTCAAACCCATAACTTTAACACGAGATATAATAACAAACTTGCCGTTCCATGTTTCAGACTCCAAAAATCAAGAGGTTCATTTCTGGGATGTAGTATTGCATTGTTTAACAAAGTTCCCCAAGATCTGATTGAGCTTCCACTAACCAAATTTAAATCTCAGATTAAGAATACTCTTATGAATAAGGGCTATTATAAAGTTAATGATTATCTAAATGATCGAAATGCATGGACATAGTGTTTCTTGTAATTTGTTATTTGATGGGTATGAGTCAGTTTTTGAAACAGTAATATGGTACCTATCTAATGCCGCTTCCTATATACTAAATATAAAATTTATTGTAACTATATATCTATATCCTTAATAATGTAATGGAAGGTGACTTCAGATGTATCTCTGAAATCATTTTTCAACTTGACGACTCTGTATATATCAATACAGGGAGAAAAAAGCAGCCCTTGCTGAGTTTCTTGCCGGTTCTTCTCAGTACAAGGTCTCCCGCCGTAGTTTTGCGAACCGATGGCGTAGCTTCTTGACCTTCACAAGTGCTTGTAACAGCCTAGACTGAATAAATGACTTTTCATTTCATTTCATTTCATGGTTTGTTCTCTTTTCAAACAAGATATCAAATCACGTACTTTTCGTTTTCTTAATTCACTCTGTGGCGGAAAATCCTTTTCATAGTTTTTATGAACCGTTTTATGATGCCTCTCTAAGTTACCACGCTTAGGTATTGCAATTGACACACGACAAATAACAAATGCACTTATCCTTCATCATACAAAAGAAAAATTCTTCCTCCCAATCGTTATTACAATGATACGTTTTAGATTTCTTCGCTGCACTCATTTTGTACTATTTAATAATAAACTTTGTATCGACGTAGTATTGCCTTCAAGTTACAATTCAGAATGACTGCAAATCCTGCAAGCGCAAGATTTATATCGGCGTGAACGAAAGTCTCGAATGTTCCCGTCAAAGGCGCCGCCCGAAATTTCTAGAAAAGACGCAAGAAAAAAACGCGGCCTTTCTTTGACAAGTAGCGCGCGTTCCTTTGTAAAGTCGCCTTTTGCTATCGGTTTGCTAGCAGAGTGTTATTTTATTTCGTAAAAATTTTTGTAGTTTAGTTAAGTACCTACTTATTAAAAAAAAATCTCGAGATCTACTCAAAAAGCACTCGCGATCGACTAGTCGATCGTAGACCGTTTGAGCACCCCTGGTCTAGGGTATTTAATACGCCTGACACTAAAAAGGCCCTAAACGCGCGCTATTTTGGATTGGATGTGACGTCACGATTCATTAAAGCTACAAACAAGATCAATGACCATACAAGATACTGACATTTTGCGTTCCATACCTTCACTGCGGATGGAAGTTGGAACCTACGTCAATCAAATATGTGTACAGTATGTTTGATAAAAATATCAATTTCATATTAAAAAATGCTCTCGTTGTCTAGGTGGAAGGCTGCCCTCTTCGGACTTGCACTAAAATCTCGTTGACATATCCTGTGAACATTACGTTTCTTTGTTGTATGCATTTAATATCGTTGGTTGTATTACTTTACCAACCCATCCAGGTGGCAACCCTAGTGCCAGATGTCCGGTATTTTCGAGCCTTGTCCGGTAAAAAATAAATGGTCATACCGGACAGAACAATATCCGGTATTTTGAGGTATGTCGATACTACTGGTCACAAGCGCCTACAAAAGTAGGTATATCCCTCAAAGGCAAAACTCGCGCGCGCTCCTCTAATTAAGTTATTTTGTGTGATGTTGATTAATAATGTATTTTTTGCGACCTAGCATACCCCCCCGTTTGGTTGAATATTGTTGTCGTATGGTTGTCCGGTATTTTTCGTGTCTCACCTGGCAACCCTAGTCACAACCGCTTTCGTCGCGGTACGAAAATGCTAATATCCACAATTTAAATCTTTGTAGTTTTCCTCAAGTATTTCGCACTTTTATATCATTAACTTCTTGCTCAAAAAGAAATTTAGTTAACAAATATTGATGGAGGGACAACTTAAAAGAAATAGAGTATAATATGTAAAAATAAAATGAGGCTTATTTGAATTACATTAATATTCCCTTTTACCAGCTCAGCATTTATCGAGTAAAAAAAAGTGTGCAAGTTGCCTGCAGTAGACAGTATAAAATGTTGTTGAAGCAAAGTCAGTTGTTTTGACTCTGTGTCGCGCCCACGTGTTTGTTGCCGCGCCGCAGTCCGTCGCTGGCGCCGTTTGCGCCGCACGGTCGCTTGTTTCACGCGAGTGTATTTTTATCATTACGCGAAATTTTATCAATCGACTCTACGCTCGCTTATTATTTCATTACAGTGGTTGGTCGTTATCGCTATAGTTATTAGTCAACGCGTTAAAAATGAAAAAAGCAGACTCTCAGTGTAGTTTGGGCAGGGGTGATCGTGGTTCGAGGCCGTCGCGTTTGCTAATGGATAGCATATCGTCTGACGAGGGGCCGGAGACAGAACGGCTCCTAAGCTCGCAGCTTCCGCCTGTAGTAGTGGCTATGGCGAGTGGCCGCCGGGAATCTTTGACAGCGCCTCCTTCGCCCACAGACTCGCGAAAAAAAAGGACTCACCACAACTACAGAAACCATCTGCACCACCTCATCCATTGGAGAGATATTTGGGGAGAACCCCATAAAGTACATGAGGTATTAGCATTGCCCACAGTATTCTAAGATGCACGATTTTCCATCTAAAATTTAAGTGAATCTTTCATATTATGTATAGTCTGGTAAAAAAGACACATTATTTGAGGCTCAAGCAATTCACTTTTAAAATAATACCTACTCCATCAAAATACCTACGCATTTTATTACTGTTTACCCAGCTGTGTGTTTCTGTATCTTTTAAACCTTGACTTACTTTGGCGTTTTTTTCCCAATAACGATGGAATCAGTTCAAGACCCTTATGTTCATGCCATGACGGAGTGAGTAGGACAATGCTGCAGGTCGAAAATAAGGTCGTGCCATTGTAGTTTATTTTTTGTAGAATTACCGATTGTGTAAGTACCTATCAAACATTGTTTGTAAACATAAATCGGACACTGCGCCAAATAAAGTAAAGGATGCAAGGAGTGATATAGTATATTATTACAGTACCCACCTTACTGCATTTCTTAAAACAAGTCCTACCTTACATTTATGAAAAGTAGCCCTACTTCTATAGCGGATTATCCACTCGAATCGGAGCGCCCGTCTGTGTAACTGTAAGGAATTTCCACCACATCACAGAAGATCACAGTAAAATAGCTACCTCTATTTCGTGATGTGGTGTTTCTGTTATCAACATGCTTGAATTGTTCAGTTTTAGGTTACAAAAAATAATGATAAACGTTGTTGCTGATAATGTCACCGATGTTTCCCTCCAGGGTATGGAACTTTATGTTCTTTCCTCGGTGGTTACCATTGGTGGCAAATGCCAAAGTTGAAAATTATTCCAACAAATTGTTATCTAGATAATTATTCGAATAAATATTAATTAATATAGGTATTCGCGAATAAGTCATTCACAAATAAACTATTCACGGATACATAGCCTACGACAAAATTTTTCATGGTTCTATTCCATATTTAAAATAATTTTTGAAAACTCATATTATTTGAAAGCTTTAAGACAAACTGGAATTAAGTTATTAAAAGCGGCACAAGAAAGGGTTCATTACAATCCACCATTGCCTTCATTTGCATCAGTAAAACACAATTTTTCATATGCCACTATGATAAACCTGCCAAAGTTAAATAATGTCCCCACCCCACTGCTGGGGCACAGGCCCTACCTATGGATGGAATAGGGAGATAGGGTCGTGAACTACTACGCGGGCCTAGTGCGGATTGGATGGTGCTAACGACTGCAGATGCAACCGGGACCAACAGCTTACCGTGCCTTCCGAAGCACGGAGGATCTCGAGATAATATGTTTTTGGTCACTCATACAATGACCAACCTTTGCGAAAGTCCCTTTACTTCCACGATCGCATGCCGAACGCGCTAAATACCTATGTCATTGAACTCCTCTCATGTTAAAATACCAAATCAAAATAATTAACAAGAATATTTTGGTAACATTAATGACTGACATTTTACATATTTTTCTCCCTTCTTAACAGATCCATTAAGCTCCTAGTATTACAATAAATACTGACAAACCTGCTAATTGATACAAATTAAATAAGCACTTATTCTTGTTTTATTTTTAATCGAATAAAGAATTTAAATAAATTTATTCGTGAATCGAATAAATACATTTATTCGTCATTCGAGTAGTTTTTGTACGAATAATTAAAATTATTTATTATTCGCGATTAAAAAGGGAAAAATATTCATTCGTTATTCGAATATGACCATCTCTGGTTAGAACCTTCCTTAGTTAGTGATATGTGCTTTCTCTCAGTAGTAAATGCAATCGTTGGATGCTTTTGCGCCGCAAAAGTTCTTTATTTTGTAAAAATGGTGCATAACATGTAACAATCAGAAATCTAAATTAATAAAAAATGTAAAACTTGTCGATTACCTATTTTTATTGCTTTCCCAGTCGGCAACACTACAATAGTGGACAAACAAAAAAAAATTTTTTTGCCAGTGGTGACTAATGGATCTTTAAATCCTCAATTGTTGCCAGCACTGAGATATGGGTTATCAATTATTGCCACTGCTAGCAGTTAAGACGAAAAATCGCATTGTTGTCAATGGAGTAATTTCGTATGTTTAGTTGAATTATTATGGGAATTAAAGAGGAGTTTGAGTATCAAGATAGATGTTTAATTTGAAAAACAATACCTAAGAATCATTTCGAATCACATTATTTATCACGCCATCATTCTAAGAGATACGGACATTCACATTCTTTGATTTGGGACCCGCCTAATATCGGACAACAAAAAGGCATCCCAAGAGTTAATATTTTGACCAAAGACGTTGTTATGGCAACATAATATGCACTGTTTTTATTATGTCAAGAAAGACAAATGCAGGTGCAGCAGTTAGAAATTTACACGCGCGGATCGGATTCGTATTCACATCGGATCCGCGCGTGAAGATTTTACAGAATAGCACTGCTGCTCAGTTTACGCGCCAATGTTCAAACGACATTTCGGGAGAATGCACATAGCACATGCAAATATTTTATTGCCCACTATTACCAAACTTAAATAAAAAATACGTAACCGTTTTAAGGACACTTGTTATAAAGTAATTCATTAGGTCCTAATGAATCCTAATGATAAGGATATGTAGATACCAAGTATAATTTAAAGTGCTGTCTTAATATGAATTCGAGCCTTAACAACTTGTTCAAAGTTGTAAAAGTCGGCGGTTTAACGAAAAGAAAACCGACGTACAAAGTTAACGATACTGACTACTCACATAAGTACCCCTAAAAACAATTTTTCGTTAACAATCTATCGTCACTACTGGGAACGATTGGGATTTTCCTTTTAACCGATTATCACCACTGGTAATATGTCATTTTCCCGTTCGTCACCACAACAATTGAGGTTTGTCACCACTGACAACAAATGGTATTTTTTTCTCTTTTGTCCCTAGTGGGAACGAAGCCAGTGCCAGTGGACGACTGGAACCAAGCGATTTTAACGTGAATGTAAATGAATATGATGATGATATGATGTGATGTATTATGGGCAGAGATGTACAAAATGGTTTTAAAAAAGCATTTAAATACAAAATGCAAAATACTTTTCAGATTTACTATTTCAAATGCAAAATACTAAATAGTTTTGCGTTTTGTATTTCAAATGCTAAATGCAAAATAGGTATTTTCAAAATACTTTTTCAAAATAAAATACCCCCTGACCAAATCTAGATATTTTTATTTATTATAGGTACATAATTTACTTATCATACATGAGCAATAGAGACACACAATGCCGAGCCGAAAAACAAACGTCTAATAACATATTACATATGATTACACTTTTCTTATTAAAACTAATAACAACTGGAACTGGACTGGTATTGTTAAAAAGTGATAAAAATAAATATCATTGTTTATTTATTTCGCTTTTTAACAATACCAGTTGTTCGAATACATCATCACTCATTTTTCTTCTGTGAGGTCTCATTATCATCCCACCATACGAAAAAAGTCTTTCTACTGGTGCTGAACTTGGTAAGGATGTGTTGTATTTAAAAAATACTTTTTTTACTGTAGGATAAGCATTTAGCATCTCCAGACTTGTGCTCTCATCCTTTAAATATTGCAGGGTTTCCAGATCTATTGTAGTATTATTAGCACTACCACCCTCACTGGTTGCCGAGGAATCTGAATCCTGGAACATGTAATAAGACTCGCTTTTTTCTCTTTTTCTTTCCGATGTCTGTGATAGGAGGCAGCTTTTTAAATTTTCATTTTTAAATTTCCTGACTTCTTGGATAAACAGCTCCCTAAGATGCTCCTTCTTATTTTTAGACACCCACTTTAATTTGAAAAATGGATACGATATTGCTGCCAGAATGCTGTCCTTGGATCTTGGGTTATCTAAATCAAATTTTTCGAAACGATTTTGAATACTTTCCTTTATTATTTCAATTAACGGTGCGCAATAAACTGGACAGACTTCAGGTAGAAATTGTTAGACACCAGCCAAATCCACCAAGTCACGTCTATTTAGATTATCTAAATTATCTTGTAGTACGTAACCGTTCCAGGTATAGTGCATAACCGTTTCAGTATTATAGAAATAATAACAACACTTTAATATCAGAGAAGTAGGTAATCAAATCAGTAACTACTTCACTAGCACCAGAAAATAATAAACTCGTCGTGAAATAAAATCGTCGGTGTCAACGGCTATGCGTTTCATATCCATAAATTAATAGTAGAGCTGTAGCAAACCGTATGTATTCGGTACTGAGTAACGGGGACGCTATCTAGTACCGAGTAACGAAACGTTACACACAAATAAATTTCATTACTCGCATTTTTCGTAGTATGATGTAGATGATCTATATGTTTCAGTTTACGCAAGTACAGTTGATGTGTGTATAGAAGCATTTGCTGATCGTATGTATTAAGCATGTGCGAGCATATTTGGAGAATTTAAAAACGTACGTTGGAGTTTTTGGCGGGATTTCATCGAGTGAGGTTGGCGTCTTATTTTAATTATTCTTAAATTCGTTCATAGTGGATATTGTGAAATAAAATTGGTGTGATTTTGTGTTACAACCGTCTGCGTGACTGAGGAATTAGTGGAATTGTTAAAATATACGCTATTCCGGTCAAATGGACGTGAGAACTTTATTGTCGTGTTGACTACCTCACAGAAGCTTATCGAAAAAGCCAACTTGATAGATTTCGTAATTTTATATAGTTTTTATAATTTTATTTTGAGAACAAAAGATTTTTGTAGTAGTTTTTTCTTTCGTTATGTTTAATTTCATTCTAAGCAAATCTATTTTTATGTTGATTCATCGTTAGAATGCTATTTAAGTATTATTATCAATACAATAATTTTCGAAACCTATTTGTTGCTTTATCATTATAATTCATGAATAATGGATTGCGATGTTATTGTGATATAACATAAGCTCAAGGTTAAAATAGTAAAACCGATTTTTTTATGAGAAGTAACGAGTAACGTAACGATACTATAGTAACGAGTACTTATTGTTAAAGTAACTAATACATACGGGT